ATCTAAAGGACACCTAAAAAACCAAACGATGCCTTGGGGAGCTCAATGGAGGGACTTACTTGAACTCCATAGTGATCAGAGATGATAGGCAAAGGAGCAACACCATCAGCCGGACTAGTCAACCCATCGAACACGACCCGCATCTGACAAGTATGTCGATAATGCACTTCGTGAAACGCTTCGCTCCGCTGTGCTCAAGACAAGACAATAGCATGAAAATCACGAATTTCGAGACGTCTTTCTCACATGTCCACCAACACCACCGAGTAAAATATCTTGCACGCATGCACACAAGATTCACCTCCTTTTCCTCCAACTTGATCGTTCTCGGTTCCGGTTCGGGCGCGTCCTTCAGGAAAACATAATCACATCGCAACTCAGCACCAGGGTCGCCCAATCGTGTCGACGGATTATTCACCTGTCAGCGAAAAAAATATAAATTTCCAAAATTTCCAAATTTTTCACCCCGTCCCAAGTGATCGGCATTTTCAGGCGTTCCAAAGATCCTTCCACTTCCGAGTTGATCTTTTCCAATTTCTTGCAATCTTGCTTTTCCTCAACGCCATCACCCTTAGGGACAAGGGGAACTTCATCATCACTGATTGCTTGAATCTTCGGTTCATCATCAGCAACTTCGGTTTCGATGAATTCGTCGTTTTCGGCGGTTTTATTTGTCTTCTCATCGACTTGTGATTTTTTCTCAGCTTCTTCAGATTTATGCCGGGCTTCGAAAGCTTTGGTAATGACTTCGCGCATTTGATCGTTGGGGAGTCGACCCGCCTCAGGATTGAAAACTTTCAGCGCATCTTGGTATCCATTGCGATGGAACATCTGACAGGGGACAGCCGACACAATAATTTAGCACGCATGTACAACAAAGATATTCCTACCATCAACTCGACGAACTCCATATCTTCCTCGTTGAGGCTGAATGTCGAGCAGTTGAGATCACCACAGAGGATCACTTGTGAATTCTTAGGTGAGTAACTTCAAGTTAGAAAAATGCCCCCACCAGGGATCGAACCCGGGACCTACTGATCCACAGCCCAAAGGATCTCATCCGCCTGCGCCTTCCTGTTAGGGTTAATACAATCCCCTTCCCTCCCCAGCACAAAATGGAGGTCCACTATAGTCAATGTTTGACCGGCAGCACCAGTGAGCTCACCAGAAACTATGAGGTAACCCGGACGAAGGAAAGTCCATTCAACCTACTGAGACCATAATTTTGTGGCGCGTGACGGAATCTCTTACCCACAACCATATCCAACCTAAGCCTGTTACCGGAGCTGTATATCCTTGAACTTGGAACGGCTCAGCGCATTCGACCTACTCAAATTAAAAAATGATCTCCCAAACCTTCGTGCGCACTTTCGAACGTCGACTGTGTGAGAGTTTAAAGTCCAACGCCTACTACGA